AAAAAAAAAAAAAAAAAAAAAAAAAGAGTTTAGTGGGATGATTAAGGGAATGGACTTTGGTGCCAAACAAACCTGGGATCAAATCCCAGATCTGATATTCCCATGACTGTGTTTTTAGGAAAAACATCTCTTCTCAAGTTTCTTTTTCTTTTTATTTATTTATTTTGCAGTAATGGGGATTGAACCCAGGGTGTTCTACCACTGAGCTACACATCCCCAGCCCTTTTTATTTAGTTTCTAGACAGGTTGGTCTAGAATTAGTAATCCTTCTGCGTCAACCTCCTGAGTAACTGGAATTATAGGTGTGTGCTACCACTTCATTTTTTTCTTATTTATGCAATGGGGCTCATAATCCCAACCTCACAAAGAATTTAAAATAATATGGAATTCCAAGGTTCATGGTACTCAAACATCTACACAACACCTCCGTTTTAAAGATATTCAGCAAATTTACAAATATTTATTAAGCCCTACAAACAGGTCCTGTTCTGGGCTCTGGGGAAGAGCAGGAGGCCCTGCAGTGAAGAATATTGATGCAAAAGGGACTGGAGTCTAGGCAATCCAACCCCTGGACTCCTTTCTGAAATAAACTGTTCCTCATCTACAGAGCTACAAATGTGAAACACTCAATCACTGTGATGCTCTAGCCTAGGCATCTGTGCCCAGGGCCCAGTTTGCTTGGCTATCAGCCCACCCCTCTCCTCTAGCTTTGGGATAAAACACACAAAGCCCTTAAGCCTCTGGCCAGGGAGCAGATTCTTTCCACCCTCCCTCATCTCCCCCATCACTGCACTCCATGGAAGAGTAGGGACTTAGGGAGCAAAAAATCAGGGGAAAAGTAGGTCAGAGCAGAAGGATGGTAATCCCCCAGTGCTGGTCAGTGCAGCCAAGCCCCTGTTCTTGGGAGCAAGCTGCTCCTGGCCACCCACCACAACTGGCTCTGGAAGACTTTGAGAGTCTGGAAAACCAGCACCATCCCTCCTAACAGTATGCCCAGGCTGAGGAGACTGCCCCAACATGACACATTGCCTATATTGGGGTATTCTCAGTCCAAGCTTTTTGTGTGTGTGTGKGKGTGGGTGGGTGTGTATGGGTGTGTGTGGTGATGGGGATTGAACTCAGGGCTTTGTGCATGCGAGGCAAGCACTCTACCAACTGAGTTATATCTCCCTCAGTTCAAGCTTTTGAAATACTTCCTGTGCTGGGCTTAGATATTCTTTCATTTCATATACTCTATACACACTCTTTATTCCCAGCCCTAGGTTGAGTGCTAGAAACACAGCAAGAATTCCTTGTTCTTGAGGAGTCCACAGTGGGGATTTTTTTTTTTTTTTTTTTTTGTAGTGGGGATTGAACCCAGAGTGCTTTACCACTGAGCTACACTCCCAGCCCTTTAATTTTTTTTTCTTTTGAGACAGGGTCTCACTAAATTGCTTTGGGCCTCAATAATTAGTTAAGGCTGGCCTCAAACTTTCCATCTTCTTGCTTCAACCTCTTCAACACAGTGGAAAATTCTGACCTGGACTTGACAATAATAAGCCAGTGCTATTAGTACTGAGGCAGCAGAAAGCCCAGGATCTGTGTAGACCTAGAGATGGCTTTAATTCAGGTTGAAGTCAGTGTTAGGGAGGAGAGGATATTAAACCAGAAGTAGGAATTTACTAGGAGAAAATGGAGAATGGTACTTTGGTGTTTTTAATATTTTTTAGTTGTTTTTTTTTTTTCAGAGTAGAGATTAGAAATTTATTAAAGGACAGCAGAAAAGACTTCTCCCGGAGGAAGAAGGGGACCCAGAAGGTGGAATCCCTATTTTTTAGTTGTTGATGGATCCTTATTTATTTTATTCATTTATATATGGTGCTGAGAATCAAACCCAGTGCCTCAYATATGCTAGGCAAGTGCTCTACCACTGAGCCACAATGATATTTTGAACAAAAAATAATAGATGCACAGACACAGAAGAATAAAAAGCCTGCTTTCTTCCTGGAAAATTCTAGTGGTCAAAGGGGATAAATCTGTGCCCCCTGTACTTTCCCCTTCAGGTGATGTGAGAAGATGGACAAGGTCTTGTTGATGAAAGTGGGGATAGAAGTCCAGATAAAAGAAGCACAGGAGCAAAGGTAGGGTCAGGGCAGAGAAAGGGAGATAAAGCATCTGAGTTAGTCATATGAATGTTAGGAAACATGAATGATGTAGAGTTTCTACATACCTGGGTAGAGGTCTCTAGAGACACCAGTTGCCTAAGCAAGGATCTCATCAGGTCTGACTGTCCTGAAGGGTGACACCCTCTCAACATAAACTTCAGTGTAGGCCTGGCCTGCAAAACTCTCTTGCTTCCTCCTTCCCAAATGATTGCTTTGGATGTCTCTTGTAAAGTCTTTTCCATGTCAGCCCACCTTTCCTGCACCACTTCTAGGTCTGACATCCTATGTCCTGTCACCCCCTTAGAGTGCTGTGTCCTCTCTGAAGCTTCTTCTGTCCTGAAGGACTGGATAGGTAGACAATTCCTCTGTGTTACTACAGAGTAGGCTGTAGGAGTGGACAAAACTGGTTTATATAGGGTGTTACAGACAAGGGGTAGGAACACAGTCATCAGATTTTCATTCAGGAAGTAGAGAATAAGCCAGATGTGATGGCTTATATCTGTAATTCCAGCTACTGGGGAAGTTGAGGCAGGAGGATTGCAAGTTTGAAGCCAGCCTCAATAACCCCTATCTTAAAGAAAAATTTAAAAGGATGGGAATATAGAATATAGAATGCCCCTGGGTCCAATCTTCAATACAGAAAAAAATAAATAGATAAACAAAAAATTTAAAAAGACTGGGGATGTAGCTTAGAGGTAGAGTGCTTGTTTAGCTTGTAAAAAGCCCTGGGTTCAACACTCAGTACCACAAGAAAAAAAGATGACTATGACAAGAAAGTAAAGTGGAGGTGATAATAGAAGCAAGTGAGGAGGCCAACAAGGCAGTGCCCACAGAAGCCTTGGGGTGGTATCTTTTTTTTTTTTTTTTTAATAAAATGAATACATTTCCTGGTTAAGAGGACTTACAGGTTTCTCCCTGAAAGCAATTCTTTTTTTTTTTTTCAAGAGAGAGAGAGAGAGAGAGAGAGAGAATATTTATTTTTTAGTTCTCAGCGGACACAACATCTTTGTTGGTATGTGGTGCTGAGGATCGAACCCGGGCCGCACGCATGCCAGGCGAGCGCGCTACCGCTTGAGCCACATCCCCAGCCCTTGGGGTGGTATCTTGAAATCAGGTTCCCTCTCTCTGAGGTCTCCTCCAGTTTCTGCCCATGCTGAGTCTCACCTTCCTTTCCACCAGGATGAAYAGGGGCTCTGCACACATGCACACCTCTTCTGAAAGAACAGGCTTGTGGAGAGTAAAAGCCAGAGATCCCTCATTATAAACCCAGTTTCTGTAGCTTCAGATTTTCTCAAGAATTTGAACATGGACTAGGACAGAGGATCCCCACTTTTTGGAACAAGCCCCCCTTCCAAAGGACTATTACCCTTGGAGAAGGAGGGGAACTGAGCCCAGAGCCTAAGCAATTTTGAACCTGAGTAATAGTTCAACAGAGGGAGGAGGATCAGATAGGATCAGGGGCTTGGAAGCTGAAAGGAGCCTGGGCAGCTGGGGTGAGACCAAGGGCAAACACCACCTCACCCCTTCCCAAGGGGACAGAATAGAAGGGGTATGCAGGATTAGAAGTGTGGATCCTAGAACTTCGGTCTGCCAGACCTCATCTGGTCCCCCACCAAGCAAGCCCCAAAAGGCAGAGAACAACCTCGCATTCCRGCAGATCTCCGGTCTCAACCAGAGCTCTTGAGATTAGTGTAATGGAAAGCTCTGCGCTGGGGGAAATGTATGTTCCTAAGGAGTCCCCTGTGGCAGCCTTTGGCCAAGCCCATCCCGTGCTGGGGATCAGTTTCTGGGGCCTCCTTTCCCAATCAAGTGAGTCGCAGCTGMGAGAAAGGAAGGAGCTTAGTGCAAATATAAATACCTTTAATGAAAGCTGTGCGCGCTCTGCAGAGCCCAGACGGCGACTGCCAGCGCAGGGTTGGAGGCATGGGCGCTGCTACTTGACCCGACTGGCTAGGCCAGAGGCCCCAGGAGGTAGGCGAGCACCAGAACAGCAACCAGCAGCAGGGGCGCAGGGGCCCCAGCGGGTGAAGCTGCTGTAGCCCGTAGTGTTTCTTGGTTGGTCTCTGGGCCAGTGCCGCGTTCCCAGACCSGCACCGGGGCACCACACAATGTATGCAAGTTATCCGGATGTGGGGCCCGGCGAGCTTCTTGCTGCAGAGACTCCCACACGGCAGCCGCCTCCTCTGGGCAGCCTGACAGGACCCGAGAGGCGCATGCATGGAAGTCATTCCAGGACCTGTTAGGAAATGGGATTGAGGGGTTAGGTTGGGGTGGGGCTTTGGAATGGGAAGGAAGTTCAGCTCCAAGGGTGGCCTGGATAGGGCTATGCCTCCCACCTGCCCTCTGCCTCCCACCTGCCCTCTGCCTCCCACCTGCCCTCTGCCTCCCACCTGCTGGTACCTGCAGACAGTCTCCAGCTCGCCTCCGCGGCCCATGCTGTCCCCCAAGCGGATGAGACACTCGGCAAAGCCCTGATATATGGTGTCACAGCGGTTTGGAGCCTCTGTGGCTGCTGCTAGTAGGGGTAAAAGGACTGGGGAGAGGGGGTGAAGAATGGTTGACAGAATAAGCCAGGCCATTTCCCCGCCCCCCAGGGGCTTGTTTACCTTGGGAGTGCTCTAGGGACATGACTCAGCGTGAAAAGAGCACCCCTGGGAGCTGAGGGGYATGTCTAGGGATCAACTGCCTTCAAGGCAGGACCTAGACCAAGATGCAGAAGCAGGAACTGTGTATCCCAGAATTGGGTTCCTCCTGAGCTCTTGGGGCTCTAGGTGAAGTGAAGATGGTTTAAGGGAAGAAGTCAGGAGAGTATGGAGGGATTGGGGTCTAGAGGCAGGTGGGGCACTATCTCTGCATCCTTCATAAGCTTTGCATGACCCTCCCACCTCACACCAAAGATAAGTGTTTCAGATGAGCTTGGGCAACATAGCCAGGGATAGGGATCCAGGCCAGACCCTCAGAGAATTTCAGGAATCCAAGGCTAGTCTAGGAGTCCTGCCAAAGGTAATGGGTTCCCTTTATCAGAAGAGGAACTTAAGAATTTCAAGGTCCTTCCCCCCACAGCTGGGGCTCAATTTGTTCCTCACTTTCCATCATGAAACCATTCACACTTTCCTGGGGCCCTCAGAACACCTATCCACCCTGGCACCTGGCACCAGGAAAGCAGCACTCCTGGCTCCCACACTCTATACCCAGCCTGATGGGAGACCAGCAAGAGGATTTGCAGCCTGGTCTGGGTCCAGGGCTCCCGCACTCACCGAGTGGCAGCAAAAGCAACAGCTTCAGGGCACSGGGCAGCCGCTGACAGCAGCAGCGGTAGCAGCAGCAGCAGCAGCGCATGGTCCCTGGCTGAGAGCCTAGTGCCAGAGCTAGCAGCTTGGAATGCAGCCGGCCGGCCCAGCCCACGGAGGGAGGGACCATGATTGGATGGAAGCTAGGAATGGGCAGGGCTTGAAGCAGGCTGTTGGCTCCGCCCCCAGCGCCCAGATTGGCAGAAGGGTGAAGAGGTGCCCCCAGAGAGTCRACATGCCCTGAGAGGCCCAGGTTCGTGCTGAGATGGTCTGAGGACCCTTGCCCTGGGAGTTGGAGGGGAGCTCTGAGAAGGCAGTGGAGTTGATGAGAACAGATGTCCAGGCCCCAGGGATGGGCTGACTTAGATCTCCCCAGAGGGAGAAAGGGCAGTCATCAGTCACACCAAAGACACACCAAAACCACACACATAAGGTTTTATTCCAAAAGCATTTAATTGAATTTCTCAATGTTTTTCAAAAACAAAAAGATCCAAATCAGAGGTAAAAAGGAACATGGAAAATTCAACTCAAGTGGTGYCACGATCTTGGGGTCATGCTCCAGGAATGGCAGAACCCAAGAAGGCACAATACCTGCCCTGGGCCCAGCCTTACCCTCCTGATTACCACAATCTGTAGACGACGGCCAGTATACCCTGCATCCCCAATCCCCAAATACTAGAGGTGGAGGCCTGAGCAAGTGAATAGCAGATGTGACCCCAATCTTGGCCGACGCCTGTCTACTGGTCTTCAGTGCCACCCACCCCTACACAAGGCAGGCTTAGCTGCTAAGGGAGGCTGGGAGTAACAAGGCCATGCAGCATTAGGCTAAGACGCCGGGCTGCTTTGCCCAGTGAGTTGTGTGGCTCAGCCTGCAGAAACTGAAATAGCTTCTGGCGCACTTGAGCCATGACAGAGCCCATGTGGTCTCGAGTGATGGGGTCACTGTGGTCCAGGTGCATCACAGCCTCTTCCAGGTAGCTGAGAATGGGGGGAAAAGCACAGGCTACAGGTGGGTGCCAGTAGATAGGAGTGCCCCCTGGTGGCACTGAAGCCCAGAGGGACAGATGATAAGGGAAGTCTAAACCTTACAATGAATAAGGATGGGGGAAATGAGTGGAGACAATTAGGGAAGGGAATCAGGCATGAGTGGGTGTTTCTGCTTCCCTTCTCACCCCCACTATCAGCTTATCTCCTACTCTCTTACTGCACATACTCACCTGAGTTTGAGGTCAGTTCTAGTGCCAAGGTCAGATGCCAGCTGCTGGATGAGGGAAAGGAGCACAGGCTGGGAGAGTGGGCAAGGCGGCTGCCCAAAAACCTGGGCTGGGTCCACCGTTTCACACACATACAGCACCAGGTTCAGGTCAGCAGCTGTCAGCGCCTGGGGGCAGAACAGGGCAGCAGCATTTATGGCTAGTATTAGAACAGAATGCGTGCTTGTCTGTGGTGTGTGGCCTGGGGGAGGAGAACCACAGAGTTGGGTGCTAAGGGCTCCAGAGGAGGATACTCAGGGACCCAGAGAACTGGAGGGCTGTATTTTACCCTATCAATAAAAAGATTAGAAAGAAAGTTTCCTGAGAAGGGGCTGGGGTTGTGGCTCAGTGGTAGTGTGCTTGCCTAGCATGCATGGGTTCAATTCTCAGCTCCACATACAAATAAATAAAATAAAGATCCATCAACAACTAAAAAATATTTAAAAGAAAAGAAAGGTTCCTTAGAAAAATGGTCATAAGGCAAGGTGAGCTGAAATAGGAAAAAAGGGATCCTGAACAAAAGAATGGCACAGGTAATGGCTTGGAGGTCAAAGAGAATGAAAAAGTCTGTCAGACATCCCACAGCTTGGTGGAGGGAATGGAATGTGTGGTGTGTAGGTCTTGTCAGAAGACACCTGAACCTTACTAGGGCCAAATGCTGTCATACCTGCTGGAAGGCCTGATTGAGGTGGCCCTGCTGCAAGAGCTGCAAAATATGGGCTTGCTGGGCCTGGCAGTCGAGGTGGGCAGAGGGGACAGGTGTGCCAGCAGCTGAACGCATGGCCTGCATGATACTGGAGGTGACGGCAGCCTGCTGTTCCTTGAGCGCCACACTCACCTCACCCTTAACAATGCGCTGTACCTGTGCTAAAATTGACTCCTGCAGGCTGAAAAGAGAAGGGAGACAGAGGTGGACAGGAAGCAAAGTCTGGCCAATCCCAAACACCCCACCTTGCCCAAAGCCTTGCCTACATACCTGCCCACAGCCACGTGCAGCTGGTGCTGTACTTCAGCCCGAACACTGCTAGATACAGTGGCTGCCATTTGCTCAGTGGCACTCTGCAGTGTGCTGATCAGGCCCCGAAGCTGGGCAAGCACAGGCTCTCTGGCCTCCTGTTCCCGTGCCTTCCGGCTCTTCATGTGGCTCTCTAGCTGTTGCAAGTCTGAGAGGCGACCATGGGGATCATAAGAGGGATGAAGGAGTGAATAGACACCCCTCCTACGCTGGGTTATACAACCCCACTTACATTCCTGTGTGCCCAGCCGGAAGCTATCATTGATTTGCTGGAACATGGCCTGGCAGCTCTTTTCGAAGGCAGGCAGCACCACGCTCTGGAAGGCTTCACGGTAGGCAGCCTGCATTGGCCCCTGTAATGTGTCTGCAGCTGCTCGGGCGATAGCATCTGTCAAATTCTGAGGTACAGGGAGAGGCCAAATTGAAAGCCTGAGCCCAACCTGGTCGGAACTAGCCACCACCCCAATCTTGGGCCCTATAGCACCTTGGACTTGAGTAGCTTGGAGATGTTCTCTTTCATGCTGCCCTCTACAGCTGTGAGCTTGGTAGCCACTGAATTGCTCAGCTGGCCTGCTACAGGCTCTAGACTCCTGGAGACACCTGGGGCAGGGGAAGAAGAGGAAGGTGGAATCAGGAGATTAAATCTGACAGGTTCACCTATTCCCACCTGGCCCACCCAAAAGAAATCTTCAAGCAAAACTTACATGGAGGAACTGTTTTTTTAATCTCATCTCGTATGCTACGTTCCAACCGCCCAGCCAAAGCAGAAGATAGTGCTTGGGACAGCTGTTGTGTCAGCTGCTCCTGCAGTTGCCCACCCCGCTGCTGCCCCTCAGCCAGTGCCCTCTCTAGACGCCGTTCTGCACTGTAGCTAAGGAACAATCCCGGAGCATATCCCTTCCCAAGCTAAGAAGGCTACCCCTCCTCTATACTATGCTGTGCCATCACCCTCAAGGATACGTTCCTGCTCATGCCGGCTCTCAAGGGCACGTTCTACATGGCCTGTGACAGTGTTCTGCAGGCCTTCGATTTGGGCACACAGACGCTGCAGCAGCTCTTCTTGGCTGTGACGCAGCTCTACCAATTCTCTCTGCTGCTGCCAAATTAGTGCTGGCCAGTCTTCAGGAGGCTCTGCCACCTGCCAGTATCACTTAGAATCACATGATGCCTGCCCCACCTATCCCTACCCACCAGACCAGGGAAATAGCCCAGAGCCCTTAAATGATGGGTTCCAATGGGTGGGAAGAGCTCCTTTCCTTACCTGGTGCTCTGTGAGCCGGGATCCCATGGCTGAATCCCTGCCATAGGCAAGAAGTACCTCAGGCCACATCAGGCAGCCTAGAAACCACCCCTCTCCCTAGCCCAAGGACTCTTCTTACCCATCATCCTTCTTGCTTTTTCTCTTGATCTTGGGTGAGGTCCGAGGTGATCCCTTGGTCTTCCAGTCCTTGGTAGGCAGGCGGGGAGTAGGAATTTTGGTGCCAAAGCCTCCTGAGGCAGCAGCAAGACTGGCTACCTCATCATCATGGTCACTATGGGAAGGGGAAGGAGGGGGTAAGCACCTACCCACCTGCTAGTTCTCCCTTGTTGGAAGAATGGTACAGGGTGACACCCACCTTTGTTCAGCACTGGTGTCCTGGCTATCATGTTGCTGTAGCAGGTGATAAGGTGGTCGGTGGAAGGCCAAGCTTTTATGCTTTTCCTGGAGGCCATTTCTGGGGCTGAAGGGACAGGTGGACTCAGCAGTGGATGATTCTTCCTGAGGTCCCTCCCACCAACATACTTTCTCTCTTCTAAGCTCCTCACCTCTCTGCCAGGGTACTACAGGTCTCCCGAGTAATGTCAGGTGCCGTAGGCCAGACCTGACTGTCAGCAGGGGCAGCCTCCTGGGTCAAGGCTGCTTCCAGGAGTGAGGGGGTACTATGTCGATCCCCATCCCCAGGGCCTCCATCCAGGCCAAGTTGGGGGCCAAGCTCGGGTCCTGGCCGGGGCCGTGGGGATAGTAGGTGTAGTGCTGAGGCAGCTGAGGCCATACTGTCTGGCTCAAGGCCCTCAGAAGCCGAGGAGCCAAAGCCACGTGACAGGGCCTCAGATGCGATCTCAGGAATATCCTGGGACAGGGCAGTAGAAGCTGAGGAGATAACATCAGGGGAACGGGTACGACTGGGGGAGGCCTGGGGTAGCCCCAAAGGCTCCACTTCCTGTAACTCCAGGGACAGTGCAGAGGCAGTAGCAGATACCTGAAGTGAGTGAAAAATGTGGGTTTAAGTGATAGGAGGTAGGGGACCACAGTCAGGAGGCACTGGAATCAGTAGTGATGAGATGGGACAGCTGGGAAGGGAGATGCAGGTGAAAAACAGGGCTACAGCCCAAGAAAGGAAGTGGGGATGGAGAAACTGAGAAGATAGCCTCCAGGGAACATGGAAGACTGATATGACCCCTGAGGGAACATGGAGTACCTGAGTCAGAACAAGTCAGCAAAGAAAGGGTGCAGGAAGAGACTGCCAACTTCCCCTGCAGCCAACCACCAGTTACCCAGCACTTCACATACATGCACACACACCTGCCCGGGCCCTTTGGAAGTCAATTTATCGCCTGGGCCTGGGAGCAGGCTGGGCAAGAGGCTGCGTGGGCTTGCCTGCAGGCTGCTGCTGTTGCTCATTGTCAGACTGCCATCCAGCTGCAATTTGGGGCTCAAGGTCAACTCTTCAGGTGGCCTGGTGGTGGRAAGGCCAAGGCATCAGCAGTCAGAGCTTGGCATCACCTGGCACTAGCCCCTAC